GCGGGGCTGCGGGCCAGACTCTTGGGTCGTGGGTTCGAGACCCCCCCGACTCTGGCGCTCTCCGTTGTCGGTCCCTGAGCGATTGGCTTCAGGAACCCCGTGTTGTTCGCTATTGGCGGTTTAATGGAGATAAATGTACAAAGGGCTGAGCACTGGCCACCGTGGAAATCAGGTGGAGGCTTCTGGACAAATAGCCAGAAGTCAACTCAGACTTTGTACATAGGGCATGGCGCCAGGACCCTGCCAGGAAGTGCAGGGTCGAGGTCAGATGTCCAGGGACAGGCCAAGTTCATGAGGAGGCTGGGGGGGCAGGGGGCTCGCCCTGGGCTGGAGTTTGGGGAGAACAGGCAATGGACTTCCTGGGCAAGGCTCCTGGGTGTCACTGGACAGTGGACTCTGACCCAGAATGTGGCTATCCTGCCCTTGGTTTTACTCAGTCCTGTCACTCGCTCCCCCGCCATGCTGTCTCCCAGGACTGCACTCCTCTTGACTCTCCTCCTGGCTGCTGGCTTCCTGGGTCTGAGGGCTCGGAAACCCCCCAAGCGCCCGTCGCTCATCAGCACCATCCAGCCCAAGGCCGACTTTGACTCCTTGCAGGTAGAGCTGGCTGAGGTGGGGGAGGCAGCAGCTTGCTCAGCTTGGTAGGAGTCAGGCCTGGGCAGCCCCATCCCCTCATGCCCTCACACAGCCTGCCTCCAGTTTGCAGGGTCGTGGTTCCTCGTAGCCGTGGCCTCCTCCTGTCCCTTCCTGCAGGAGCAGGGCCACCAGGCTCAGGCCACCGCACTGAAGGTGGCTCCCCAGGGCACAGCCATGGTTGTCAACACCTTCCAAAAGCTGTGAGTCCCAGCATGGACACCCCAACCCCACCCCAGCCCTGATCCACCCCAGCTGTGGCCTGGACTGCTGTCCAGCATGGGCTGCCCAGGTGGGTCCCTGAGCCTGCTGTGCCTTCACACACTCCCACTCCCACAGGGATGGTATCTGCTGGCAGGTACGGCAGCTCTATGGAGACACAGAGGTCCCGGGCCGCTTCCTGCTCCAAGGTGAGGCAAGACAGCAGGAGGGGATGTGGGGCCGGCGGTGGGGCTGATGTTACTGGCCGGGCTCTGGCTCTGCCCATTTCTTCCGGTCTGTGCCCAGCTCGAGGTGCAAAGGGGGAGGTGCAGGTGGCCGTTGGGGAGACGGATTACCAAAACTTCGCCATCCTGTACCTGGAGCAGGGGCGGCGGTTGTCGGTGAAGCTGTACGGTGCGTACATGAGGGAGCCCTGGCTCTGTGCACACTTGACCCCACCTGGGGAGCTGGGCGAGCCCAGATGGACACACAGACCCTCCTCTCCTTCCCTCCGTCCCTCAAGGCATCCTGATGATTGGGGGTCCGGGGAGGCTCCCCCTACAGATAGGCCCAGGTGTGAGACAGGGAGGGGGCAAGAGGAGTAGGGGTCAGACATGGCTGGGCATGTGACCCTGTCCCCAGAGCACCCTGCCCACCCCAGTGGGTGCTCAGCACCCCAGGAGCCCTGTGTCCCACAGCCCGCTCACTCCCTGTGAACGACTTGGCCGTAAGTAAGTTTGAGCAGAGTGTCCAGAGAGCCGGCCTGACTGAGGACCACATCTTGTATTTCCCCAAATACGGTGAGTGACCCCCGTGGCCCCATGTGGCCTGTCCACCCTCCCCACGGGCCTCGCCCCTGCCACACTGACCCCTGCCTGACCCCCGCCCCCAGGTTTCTGTGAGGATGCAGACCAGTTCCACATCCTGGATGGTGAGCGGGTGGCGGGCTCAACTGGGCAGTGCACTGGGGGCTGGCGCTGGAGGGGGCGTCGTGGGCTGAGCATCTTCTCTGTGCTGCAGAAATCAGGAGGTGAGGTGGGACATGGCCCCTCAATGATGAGAGGCAGGGAAGATCCTTCACTGAGGCCTGCACCCCACCTGCCCCCTGAAGATGCCCGTCACCCCCAGGACCCTGGGGCACTACCCCCATTAAATGTCATCCTTCTTAGCCCGACTCCTTTTCCATGCTGGCCCGGGGCCTCTATGCACCTGGTCACCTCAGGCCATCTCATGGGCACGTGGGGCGGCTCCCCAGGTGGGTCAGGAACCCTCCCAGGGAGGCTGAGTGGTAATGGTTCCTGGACGTAGGGCCCAGGTCTAGGTGAGCTGGCATCCCTCTTAGGAGGGCAGGAGGCGGGGCTGCCCTAATGGCCAGGCAGGACTCAGGACTGGCCTGGGGCTGAGTCCACTCCTTGCACCAGGCAGCCGGGACCCTGCAGTGAGGTCGTGTGGGCACGGGGCACAGAGATTGGTGGGTCTGTAGCCCAGGCGGAGAAAGCAGGCCAGGGGGGTCCCAGGAGCCCGGACAGCAGTCTAGGGGCTGGAGGAGGGGAGGGGGCTGTGGCCCTCAGCCTGGGCCAGGGTCTAAGTGGGCTCCTGTGGGCCAGGATCTGGGCTCAGCTCCAGCCTCTTCCTGACCCCCCCACCGGGAGAGCCTTCCCCATTTGTGGGCAAACATTGGGGATTTCAACAGCTTTGCTGATTTAGGAGATGCTGTGCCCCCCACATGCCCACCCCATGCCCAACAGGTCTGTGGGTTCCCTCCTCCCAGAGGGCCCCCATGGGAGGCCAGCTCTCTCCTATCACCCCTGTCAACCCTCTTCCAGCCATTCTGGGCCAGAGCCAGGCCCCAGTGGCTGTGAGTCATGGAGCCAAGGTGCCCACACATACTTCCTAGCCTGGAGCTGTCCATGCCCAGCTCTCCTGCTGTCCCGTGGGAACCAGGAAGAGGGGCTCCCTCCCTTTAGGAGAACTTGGGGGAGCGTCTGAGGGCAGATGGCAGCCCCCGGGCTGGGAACAAGGCCACTCAGGTGAACTGTAGGCCCCAGAGCAGACGGGACCACTGCCTGGTCCCTGGTGAGCAGAGTCAGGGGCCCTGGTCCTCCCTCTGGATGCCAACCTGCCCATCTCACTCCCTGGCCAGTCCAGACCAGGACTGTGGCACGTGGTTGCTGGGAGGAGCCAACAGCAACCCTGGAGGGGATCCATGTCCCCATCGAGTGGGGACCATGCCCGACCCCACAGACTGGACTCCCAAGGGGACAGATAGGTAGGGCTGGTGGGAGGAGGGCATGACAGGGGTCCCAGCCCCCCAGGACTTCAAGGGACAAGCCACCACCCCCACCCCACATACACGAGACCCAGGTCCCAGAGACCCACAGAATAGAGCTGGAGGCCACAGGACACCTGCATCACCAGGGCTGAGGCTCAGAGCGGCAGGCCCCCAGGGCGCCCCCTGCCCGCCTGGTCCCATGTCCCCCACATGTGGAAATTGAGGGCCTCCGCTCGGGGGTCGGGGGGTTGGCAGATCCCCCATCAGGGCTTCTGGGGAAAGAAGGATGTTCCTGGAGAGGTGCGTGTCTGAGGGGTGACACCAGACACTGAGTCACTCAGCAGCCCCACCTCCCTTCTGACTGCAGGTCCCAGGCTGGCAAGAGCCCTGTGGGACCAGGGACTCGATAGTGATACATTGTTGCATTTTCACAAAAATGTTTGCTGAGCTCTAATCACATTCTCAGATAAAGAGGTGAAACAATTGTAGCTCTAAGTGAATCACTTTTACGTAAACTTATTTATTAATCAGCGGGTCAGGTGCTGTCCGGGAAGCACTGGGCCTGGGGCACCGCTCGGCACGGGGGCCTCGCCTAGCCCCACTGCTGCAGCCACTTTGTGCTGCTCTGGCGAGGGAGGCAGGGGTCCTTGTGGGGGGCCAGCTGTCCCCACTCTGACATGCTGCTGACTGCTGCCCCCCAGTCTCCAGAGCACTGGGAAGGGGTGTCGCCTGGTGAGGCTGAGACACGGCTGGTGCCTGCAAGGTCGGACCCCAGGCCTTCAGGGGGTGGCCGTCGGGGTGGGAACTGCCAACCAGCTTCTGTTGGAGAGGGAGGGCTCCTTGGGGACTTCAGGGGAAAACAGTCATGTGATTTGGCACTTCTCTCATTGTGGGTCAGTCTCCTGAAAGACCCCCTGACCAGCGGGCACAGCAAGCCCAAGGGACAGGGTCATTGCCCGGTGGGCTTGGCCCTCCAGACCCAGCCCTGCTGCCTGCTATAGGGCCTGCAGGTGACCCAGATAGGCCTTGGCCACCATCCAGATGACAGTGGGAACCCTCCTGGAAGAAGGAAGGCCCTGGGGGGGGGGGTCCCTGTTTTCCATGAAGAGATACAGGCCTGGGACAGAGCCGAGCACTGAAGCCCCTCGGCCTTGGGGGCCCAGGGCTCTCTGAGAGGCCTGGTTGGGGCTCCTGCTCAGGACAGGTTGCCCAAGGCCAAGGGTGAGTGAAGGGAGAGGAGGGTGGCCCAGGACAGGGAGGTAACAGGTCAGGGACACACCCTTCCTGGCTGTTTCAGAGCCCAGCACCCATATGCTCAGCTGTGCGTGGGCAGGAAGGGTATTTCCTTCCTGGTCCCAGGGGTGGCCGGGGTGGGGGGCCTGCAAGTCCAGAGCCTGCCTGTGCCTCCTCCACTGGCCTCTTGCCCCAGGACCAGAGTGTGGGTGCCCCCACCCCTGCTCTCCCTCCGGCTGAGTCCCTGCCGATTGCCTCCCCCTTGCCTCACTGACCCTCCTGACTGCAGGCCACCGCCCTCTCCTTGTCCCGCACCGTGGGCTTGGGGACGCGCAGGGCAGTGTGGGCGCTGGAGGCCCGGGCACTGCACTGTGTTCCCGCAGAGAGAACACTGCGGCTCTGTCCCCTTGGGCCTAAGGAGGGACGTGTTCCGTGTCTGGTGCATTCTGTCCTCCACCCTGTGGCTGGACAGACAGCAAGCCTGGGGCTTGAAAGTGGGGTGGGGGTGGGGGACACGGTGTTCAGGGATCAGAGGGCAAGGACCAGGGGCCTGGCGGGCACCTCTCCCACTTCCTGCCGACCTCCCTCCCCAGGTAAGGACCCAGAAGCCCCCATCTTTAGTGGGCAGAACCTGAGGAGGGCCTGCCCTCCTCAGCCCACCCCAGCCCCCTGCACCCACCTCCCTTTCTGCCATCCCGAGGTGGAAGGTGGAGCTGCCACACCCCCGGGAGGGGTGCTGTGGGGGAGAGGTGCCCATAAGGGGGTGAGTTGAGTCAGCAGCTCCAGTGGCCACTTCTCCGGGTGCAGCAGGGATGGGACCTCTGTGTGCCCTGTGGGTGGTGGTCACCCTGCTGGAAGCCCTGAAGGGCTGGGCCCCATCGCCTCTGCTAGCCGTCGCCCAGGTCTTGAAGAGCTTCCACAAGGACAAGGTCGGAAGAGGGGGGACTAGGACGGGGGTGGGGGGCAAGCAGGAGGCAGCCAGCAGGGTGCAGGGAGAGAGGCGCCCAGGAATCCAGTCCAGGCAGCCTGCCCTGCCGGGTACCCAGCCCCGCTCTCAGACACTCCCCACCATGGAGGCCCCCTGGCTTCCTTCCTGTACCCGACAGTCCCTCTGCATGGACAGAGAAACTGAGGCTCAGGGAGGCAGCTGCTGGCCAGGGTCACCCCATCCCTGCCGGAGCCTCCAGCTCCCAGCATCCGTGGCGCAGGCGAGCCTGGGAGCCCCGCCTGGGGAAGGGGTCCTGAGGCACCCTGGGCCCTGCCCAGCCCAGCTCCCTGTAGTTCCAGGGGGAGTGGTTCGTTCTCGGCCTGGCGGGCAGCACCCACAGCAAGGCGGACAGGTCCCTTCTGAGCCCTTTTACTGCAACGTTCGAACAAAATGCAAAGAACCAACTTGAAGTGTCCTACGCCATGACCCGGTGAGTGAGGGTCCCGACTGTCCCGGGAGCTGCGTTCTCCCAAGGCCTCCTAACGCCAGGACAGCGCGGACTGCCAGCGACCTAACCCCGCTCTGGGGGCGTACACCAAAGAGGGGAGGCATTTTCTAGAACAGACTCAGCGGAGGGCTTATGGGTTTCAAGTTCAGGTGGATCCAGGAGCCCAGATACTGTGATCAGGGCCCTGTCACACCCTCCCTCTCCCCTCTCAGCTCCGCCTGCCCGGCTTCTGCTCAGGCAGGTTCTCTCCTCGCAGGATAAGGCCGTGGCCTAAGCCGCTACCCTCCTCAGATCCCAATTCCAGAAAAGGGAGCGTCCTGGCCGGCTTGGCAATGGCCCCTGATTGGTCGTCTTGAGTTATGTGCTCCTCCTGGACCAGTGGCTGTGTCCAGGATGGCAGACGCTTTGGCTGACCTGCCTGGATAAAGTGCCCCCCCCCGATTAGGGAGAAGGGGGAGCCTTGATGGACAGCTCCCTTCTGGGGACTCTGATGACACCTCTCCTCAAGCCAGCAGCCTTTTTTGCCCGCCTGCTGGGCCGCAGGGGAAGAGCGGCCCCGAGACCTCTGTCAGGGTTCCACATAAATAAAGTAGGAAGCTTAAGCGAGGCAGGTTTGTCCTGTGGACCGGGGTGTCTACTAGAGGCCAGGAGTGGGGTACAGTCTGGCCTCCGAGGGGCTACACTCAGCTCCAGTGAGCATGGTCACCCACCAGCCCTCAGAGCCACCTGTACATGGCCCCCAGCGGACCCCCCACCTAGGGAGGAGCCTTGGACTCCTGGGGCATCTGACTTGGCCAGCTGGGCTCTGGCTGGAGGTTTATTAATTGGGGGGAGGGGGCAGGGAACCCAGTGCAAATGCCCCCCACCTCGAAGCCCTCTGGGCAGCCTTCCATCTCCCCCACCGCAGGCCAGGCTGCAATTGTTGCTTCTCAGAGCAAGCAGTTCCCCTGCAGAAGTCCCTGCACTGCTGGACGGGCCCCTGAGGTCTGAGCCGGGACAGGGGGCTTACCAGGCCCAGCAAGGACGGCCACACCCGGCCTGCCCTCCTGCTTCTCCCAGCAAGACCCCCCCACCCCCAGAGAGGGCCTTTCCTCATCCTTGCACACCCTGCTCCAGGCGGAGCAGGAGTGGTCAGCGGGTGGGCTGTGCAGTGGCTGGGAAGGGGTCAGTGGCCACACTGACAGGAGGCAGAGCTCACGGCCTGAGGGGCCCAGGGGGGACACATCCCTTCCTGGGGAGGGCAGCCGAGCCTCGTCTGCTGGGCCCTGCTCAGGAACCAGCCGCTGAATTCTTCGTGGGGGGCCCACCTTGGGGACAAGAAGGCCAGCTGCCTGGCCAGGTTCCAGACCCTTCCTCCTCTGCCCCTCTTCCCCACAGGGGGAACCAGCGCTGCATCACCTGGTCTTATGTGCTGATTTCCAAAAGCCAGCCTGGGAAATTCTCAGTGGAAAATAGGGGTGAGACAGTGGGCAGTGGGCAGGATGGCATGGGGAGCCCTGGCAGGAGGCCACTGACCAGGGCTGTGCCCCTCAGAGCCCGGGGCAGACACCGAGGAGGTGCAGGTGCACAACACCGACTACACCACCTTCGCCCTGATGTCCTCCAGAAGGCGGTCGGGCAGCCAGAGCATCCTCAGGGTCCACCTGCTGTGTGAGCCCCTCCCATCCTCTCTGCGGCGCCGGTGGGGCGGGAGGGAGGAGGCCCAGGGCTCCCGCGTCTGGGGCCACGCTGGAGGGAATGTCCACCACACAGGCCACCCCAGCTGCTAAGGGCCACGCTGTGTTCTCGGGCTCCAGGCAGAGCGTGGGCGATTCCGACCCAGCTGCTGGATAAGTTTGTCTGCCTGGTCAGAGCCCAGGGCCTGCTGGATGCCAACATCGTCTTCCCAGACTTGGCAGGTAACGCCTGGTCCCCCTGTCCTAGGTCACCTCCTCCTCTCACTCCAGGAGGGTTTCCCGCTGTGCCCCTGACTTTCCTGCCCGTGGCCCTTTACTTGCCCATATCCACTTGCACACATGTGAGCACAGAAACTCACACTCGTGTGCACATGCTGTGCACTCTGCTCAGAAGCACGTACATAGCTGCACCCACCTGCACACCCGCTGCACCTGGCCACCTGGGTCTACACTGAGTCTGGGGACCAAGGGGGCTCCCCGAGGACCAGAGCTGGGGGAGCAGTGCCCGGGGGGCACACCCTTCAGCCCCTTGCCTCCTGCCCCAGCCCCTGCCCCTGGAGCCCCTGCGCCACCCCTCCTCCTACCCTTAGGAAGCTGCGTGTCTCCCTGGCCTCCTCCCGGGCTCTGTGCCCTGCTCCCTGCCCTCCCGCGTCCTGAGGCTCCGTCTCCTCCATCAGAATGGCCAGCCCATCAGGTAACCTGTTGAAGAATGGAGTGCCCCCCCCATGCCAGGCCCTGCCACTGCCCAGCACTCACTCTCAGCATGAAACCAACGTCCTGTGAACCACTGTGGCTGCGGCCGTGGCCGTGGTTCGTTTTCTCCTGGCGCGGCCTGGGCCCCAAGAGCAGCAGAGGACCGGCTGTCAGGTGTCGCATGGGGTCACCCTGGCCCACACTGGCTGGGAAGGGGGTGATTCACACGGTAGGGGGAGCCCTGGGCAGGGGTTGAGGGGAGCATCTGGGGGTTGAGTACAGCCTGCCCTACGCTGGGGGGTCTCCTTGTCTGACAGCTGCTCCTGTCCCCTCTTTTAGGATTAAGTACTTTCTTTATTACATCATTAGCTTGTTAGTTTACTTTGTTCTTTTAACCATGTTTAAGTGCGCAGCTCAGTGGCATTGGGCACGTTCACACCTGTGTATGTCCCGTCATCTCCAGGACTTTATCATCTTCNCCCTCCCCAGCCCCTGCACCCCCAGCCCTGTCTCCGCGGATCTGAGTCCTCCAAGAACCTTGGGTGAGTGGGATCCCACAGGATTTGTTTCGTGTCTGATTCATTCCCCTCAGCATCATGTCCTTGAGGTGCATCCACGCTGTAGCAGGTGTCAGGCTCTCCTTCCTTTTCATGGCTGCATAGTGTTCCACGGCCTGGAGAGGCCGGCCATGTGTATCTGTCACTCCCGTCTGGGGACACCGGGGCTGCTCCCTCCGGCGGCTGTCGGTGATCNCTGACAGCTGCTCCTGTCCCCTCTTTTAGGATTAAGTACTTTCTTTATTACATCATTAGCTTGTTAGTTTACTTTGTTCTTTTAACCATGTTTAAGTGCGCAGCTCAGTGGCATTGGGCACGTTCACACCTGTGTATGTCCCGTCATCTCCAGGACTTTATCATCTTCTCAGACTGACTCTGCCCCCGAGAAACACTCACCCCCCCCTCCCCAGC